TTGGCAGCTCTTACAACAATGCAAATTATTTTATTGTCTTTTTCATAGCATCTTTTATTCTTTTTAATGTCAAAATTTTTTTTTTTTTTTTTTTTTGACACCGCGCACATTCTGTGATTATGACCCTCTGCCTGCCCTGTAGTTTGGGATCAGTGACGTCGTCAGAAAAAGTCTGACAGTGAAGCCTGAGGTAAGTTTTTTTTGTTGGTCACAGTACAGTAAGATGTAAATGTGCTGGATTAATATTAATTAATGACAATACATTGAACTTGTTTGTTAAACACAAGCATACAAACACAGTGTTAAGGGGTATACAGTACATGCTACACACATCACTATGCACGTGGCCCAAAACAATCAATGTGCTCATACCCACAGGGCAAAGCTTTGTGGGAGTTTGCCACTGCACTGATGAGGAAGAAGAGCTGTTGCTGTGGAACCAAGACAATGTTCTTTTTGTGCTCTAACCAGACCCGGAGAGGAGAAGGAGAGTTCATTAAACTTGTGAAACTGATGAAATGCAAGGTATTTTTGTATGTCTGCGCATCAGTATGACGATTTACTGCATCAAATCAAGCCATGCTAAAGATGCCAGCACACACAGTAGGCTATGGCTGTTTGTTTCCTTTACATACAGCACAGAGGTCCACTGTCCAAAATTAACCCCCTCCAGGTGCCAAATACAGGTAGATTTTCCATTTGGTGAGTTAATCTGCCACATTGGCAGGTAAATGTTTGTAGCCATTGACTGTATATAAAAGATAAACAAAGCCAGTGTGACATCGCCCAATGGTTTTCTGAAGAGTGGTTTTGAAGCTCAAGTCTAGCCTTTACCATTTTGGTAGTGCCTCACTGCGTCTAACTCTGTCCAACCAAAAAAATGGGCAGAGGTGGGGCATGAATGGAGCTCACTAGACAGCTAGCGGCCATCCACCTTTGGCAGAATCCTCCCCTAAAAGCAAGCCACTCCCTTAATTATGCATAACTTTGTCTCATTATAATTAAAACAGGTGAGTAATATAAAAATTCACCCCCATCCAGTTGTCATGGAAGAGGAAATTAGTTATAGAGACAAACAATTTTTCATACCAA